CAATGTGTCGTTCAATCCATTCATAAAAGCCATGAAAATAATACATTACAAATGCTTATCATTTGTCACCTATTTTTACCACTCATTCATATATTACGTGACGTTTGGAATGAGGGGTGAGTTTTATTGGGCAATGTATTGACGCTTTCGTTACAAACCCATTAAATGTGTATTCATTTCAATGATTATAATAACACTTCACTCAATACAACACTCAATAGTAAAGGGTTTTCAATAAAAGGCATCATTTGTTTGCGTTATTAATGAGTGTTTGCTTTCAATGTAAACAAATTGTTGTCTAAATTGTTAGTCATTTCATTGCCATCTCTTCACCGCAAAAGTGGTATTCAATTATCATCGGTTGAGTCCAATGTCTGCGGACCGGTGTCTGTACTTCTTGAGCGTATGACTGATCTATGATATGATACCGTGAATTGTGGTCAATATCTTAGTGTCAACTCATTTGGCATTGATATCAATCGGCGGTCGAAGCGATTCTTATGGTTAAAACACATCTCCTTTTTATGATATGTATTGTCAGCGGATTTCTATTGACTCTTCAACTCATTTCACTGCAACTTCTTGTCAGAAAAGTATTCAATTGATAATCAATTGTTTTCAATGCTTTGATTTCTAATGTTGTCTTCAATTGAATCTATAATTTAGGGTCAAATCCAAGAGAAGAGTTCGTGGGTATGATTGATATGAATGCCAACATTTGTGAGATAATGACTGAAACGATTAAATGGTTATTTTGATTAGACTCTGTTAGATGTGGTCACTCTTAGCGCTAATCAACACTCAATACCGTTGTTTCTGATCGACAGCGAAGTGTTGAGTAACATCTCTGCGAAGAGCGCTAAACCGATTCTTGATTCGTATTGCAATGTGTTGTGTACGGGCCGTAAGATCACACATTTGGCCACTTTTAGTCAGTTCGCCACTCAGTTGCTGATCAGCCGATTCATCCATTCAGTCAAGTCTAAGGGCTTCACTGTATTGGAGTTGAAAGAGTTGGACCCAACTCTTGTCCACTTTGGTCTCGAGGTCTCGATTCCCACGCATTTGATTGTAATCGACGAGAAGTTACACATCAAAAAGACTTCTCATGTCATACATATTGCCATATTCTATGAGCGAATCCAATCGACCAATTGGTGGTACGGAATGCTATCACTCACTGAACATCAGCAGAGATTACTTCACAGACAAGGCATCCGAAAGTCGTTTTTC